AWAWWAAKTMAMAATATGAATAATAACAATCTCATCTTGTTTCATCTCATCTACTCTCCCCCGTCTGCTCACCTTCTGAGTGACCTTCGCTTCAATCACAGTCGGACTTCTCTTCTCCAGTCTCTTCTGGACTGACTTCAGACCAGCCTGGATCTCTGACAGCTTTGCTCCGAGTATGTGGACGGGACCGCTCCGCTCCGCGGCTTCTCCCACCTGACGGACCCAACAACCACACACCAATAAAACTAAAATGTCCCTGAATAGAAACCTTAACAAGTCAGACCTTTAGTATTTTTTCTACTGAAGGTCTTCAGCGCCACAAGTTCAATCTTAAATTTCACAGAAATCTACAAAAAAAAGAATAATTGTCACTTTGAGATGCGTTGTCCATCGATATTTCTGACAACCCTTCCTTTATCGCTAGAGTTGCACTTTTTAAATCCTTGAAGTTGCCTGATTCTCCAACAATCACATAAAAGTCTTGCGTACCTTTACTTCCACTTGCTGCAGGGATCGATTCACCTCCTGCAGTTGGCCCTCGATCTCGACTGGGACCAACGTGTACATGTCGGAGTATTTCATTTTCAGGCTCTCCATGATGCGCTGCAGCAAAGCCTTCTGGGTATACAGCTGGCCGTGGACGTCCTGGAACCAAAGAGAGAAAAGAAACTTTTAAAAAACTGCAGCAATAATTTCATATTTACTGATATACTTTGTGACCTTTCAATTCTAAATCAGCTTTGTGGTGACATTTGTCAACACTGACAAAAAATAGCCTCGACCAAAAAACACTTGTGAGCAGATTGTGAACAACAGTTACTGACACATCACAGCTTTTATGTAATTATTCAAACAGAGGAGGCAAAAAGCCGCCGACACTGATCTTATCTCCATCTTCCTGTGAGTACCCTGCTCTCTGTGGGTTGTTCCGCAGCTCTCGCTCCTGCTGCTGTCGTCGGACGTTCCTCTTCAGAGTCCTTCAACTCCACGGCAGTTACACAAAACCCTTTTCTCCCCCATGAGGTTGCAGTGCGACAAACTACATTTGAAACATAATCTGATCACACGTGAGAGAGAGAACCCAGAGGAGACCACCTCCGTCTGCATGTGTCCGATGCTCTGCAGAGGAGGGAGGGGCATCTCGTTATCGCTACGGGAAACTGAGCATGTTTTGTGTGTGTGTGTGTGTTTGTGTGTGTGTGAGAGAGAGAGTGATACAAAGACAGGGAGCAAACGAGGGTACAGTGAGATGGGGGATGAGACTGGGGGAGGACATGGGTGAGTGTGTTGTTGTATCTTTTTGATGATGACCAAAGTCTTTGGAAAGTGAGAATATTATAGAAAAGAGAACATGTTTTGTCTCGTCGTCACTTCAGAGGAGTGTTTGGTTGATGGGTATGAGGTCGGTTGGAACTGTGTGTGTGTCTGTGTGTGTGTGTGTGTGTGTGTGTGTTGGGGGGGGGGTATACAAAGGCCACCTAGAAGATCCACTTACAACGGTGAACAAAAGGTGTTTGGTAAAAGAGGGGGAGTCAGGATGGTGGGACTGATGGGGGGGTGTCCATGTCTTTCATTAACACAGACCCTCTCTAAGGGGGAGTGTGTGTGTGAGTGTGTGTGTGTGTGTGTGTGTGTGTTTTTGTGTGTGTGGAGACTTGGCCTCTGCTCAGGTTCTGGGACAAAGGGCAGAGTGATTCTCTGAGTTGGTGAGTTTATAGAAACGAACACAGAACAGCGTCCGGGCCTGAGGCCACAAGCCGACCGTTTGTTATTAACTGCACATTAATAACAGCCCCTCGATTTCTACATTCAATTAAATCACAGTCTTTACATCTGCAGACCAGAGGAGCTGAGGGGAATCTTTCAGTTGTTATTAGATTCTAATATTTCTTTTCATTAATTCTGTTTGGAACTCAAAGAATCTACACATCACCGTCAATCTAACGCATCAAACCTTCATGCAACCAAAACATCCACGAAATGAAAAATCATTTCAGAAGAAGTTTCATCTTGCAAACACCTGCGTGTGATGTGACCTTTAGTAAAAACTAGTCTGAGCAGAAGTGTGTCCCACCTGTAGCTCCTGTGTGCTGCTGCTCTTCTCCATCTCTGACAGAAGACGGTCTGCAGCCTCCAGCCAAACCCGGACGCCCTGCAGGTCCTTCCACACCTTCTCCCTCTCCTGCAGCTCCAGCCTGGAAGCGTCCAAACCCTCCTTGCTCCTCAGCTTCACACTGTGGAAACACACAAACACGCACATCCAGCAACAGTTGTTTAAAAACTGTTCTCACCTGAAATACACGAGAGGAAAACATCAACAAAACATCGGTGCATGTCTTATAACCTCTCACCTGCCGTATCGGGCCTGCATCGCCTGCAGCTGCTGACAGAGCGGCGTGGGAGGGGCCTGCTCCAGGTGGGCAGGGACACCCAGCATCCTTGCTGCACGCAGCTCCAGCGCCGACAGGGACCGGTGCTCACAGTCCAGTCTGTCCTGGTACTGCTCCCAGGACTGCAGCACGTCATGGAGCTCCTCAGTGGACGCCTTCGCCTGTGAGCTGTCAGGAAGCTCCGCCTCCACCTGCTCCAGGACGGTAGAGGCCTTCTCCACCTGAGAGGACGACACGCACAGTCGTAGATGTATTGTGTCCAGCGCCATCTTGTTTTTTTTTACCATATATAGAGCAGCAGGGGGTGGAGCCTGACTGTTAAATGATGATGTTATAAATCACTTCTAAAGACGCAACCAGTGGAGTCGGCCTCTGCTGGTCATATGAGAGACTACAGGTTTCAGGGACTTCAACGTAGGCTTCACTTTCCGTATCCAGAATCGATGTCAAGCTTACAAACAGTCTCGGTGACACTGAACTCAAAACTACAGCCTCAGGTTACCACGTTATTTTTTATACTGATGTAAACAAACCTGAGAATACAACACCTGTACTATAAATAAATAAAATGTAAACTGTGAATGATATGTCGGCTATTCTTCAACACAACAATGCAACGTTTTAATTCAACATTAAAGCAGATTCCTCTAAAGACAACAAACCTGAACGCAATTTGAAGCTGAATGAATGTTTGTGTCTTCATCTACTCACACTGTCGGTGATATCGCTCCACTCTGCGATCCTCTGTTTGCTGCGAGTTGCGAGCTGCCGAGTGCAGTGCCGGAGTCTCGATACCCGTTTCGAGACGTCGGTGACCGTGGCCTCCCTGACTCCGCGGCAGTTCTGCTCTTGGCACCACACGTTCAGCCGCTCCACAAGCGTCAGCTGCATCTCCACCAACTCTGACAGAATCTGCACGAGAACGTCAGTCGATCAATTGAAAAACAGAATGGAAGTCAGGTGACAAACAAGGTCTCGTAGAGATGCCGGCTGTTACGCACTCTGAGCTTTTCCTCCTGTTCCACGCAGTCAGTGAGACAGGTTGGTTTCTGAGACACAAACTGCAACAAGCTGCTTTCTGCACCCTTCACCCTCTGGAGGATTTCATCCTGGGAACTGATGAAAGATCTGTGATGTTCCGCACACCTGAAATACAGAAAAATCATTATAGGAAGAAGCGAGTGACTCTGTCCAAACGCAAATCATGCAATCTCTATCAGGTGATGTTTTATCACAGTAAATGTTCTACACAATGACTTTAGTGTGATTGCTGTAAATAAAGATTGATGACGTGTGTCCATTTCCTCCTATCCTGCAAAAAATTAAGCTAAAATATCTCGGATACAGCCGCTGACGTTTCACCCCATTTGATATATCATCACATAACTAATTAAAACCAAACGTGAAAACGGAACTACCTAAAATGACAGACGCCATATTTGAGAAACATTAATTTGATTTTAGTTTGCTCCATGTTCCATCCACTAACATGGAGGACCACTCAGAATACAGAAGTCAGATCTTGGAGCAGTGCAAAACGAAAAACTACAAATATGAGCGTAGAGTGGATCCGTTATGCTCCTTGAGCCTCGTACCTGCTGAGACTCTCCAGTTGGACGTGGCCCTTTGCCTGGAGCGTGGACATCCTCACCAGGAGCTGGCTCAGGATGTTCTCCTGGAGCTGCTCGGTCTTCTGAGGCGACAGGTAAGGATGCAGAGCAAACTGTCTCTGGAGCTTCTCCACGTTAGTCTGGAACTGCTGCTGCAGGGACACCAAAGCCTTCTGGGTGTCCTCCAGCCTTTCAGTGCAGGGCCCGACAGAGCCCCACGGTGGCAGCAGACGCAGCTCGATGTCCCTCAGGAACTGCACCGCTTGTTTCACAGCACAGGTGTAACCCCTCAAAGACTCCCTGGCCTGGAGGAGGTTTTCCTAAAAAGTAATAAATACACATTTTAGCGAAACACCATGACTACAGCATTCTGACACACCCGACGTAAAAGACAAAAGATAGATTGTGCACATCGTCTCTAAAATGAGTGCAGCGTTTATTTAGAGTTTCATGGAAGCAGAGGATCATGGGTAATATCCGGCATTCAGTTCTGTTACTTTGAATACTTCAGTTAGATACTTTAAAATGTAAAGAAAAAAAGGATAACAATGCAACTTGCCATTTTTGAGTCACATTCACTCAGGACTGATTTCTTCAAGACCGAAAACTGGGAATTGCTTTCTTTTCTTTTTCCCTTCTCCTGCTCGAGAATCTCCAACGCTCTCATTCTGAACTCGACTGTCTTTTTCAAACACATGATTCTCTGGTATTCTTTGTCGATGGCTGTTTCATTTGGCTCCAGCACGGTGACTTTCCCAAGCTCCTGCTGGTTCTTTGAGAGAAAAGCCTCGGTCTCCTTCTGCACCGATTCCAGGTCCAGTTCCTTCAGCAGGTTCCACTCGATGATGCTGAGGTTGTTGTAGAGCGTAATCTGCCACATATCCAGGCTGTCATCGCTTTGTTTGAGCCTCTGCTGTTCTGTGCTCAGCTGAGAGGGGTAAAGGTCAGTGGAGATCGTCTGGAGTTCAGAGCGAGCCTCCTCACACAACCACCTTATCAGCGGAATCTGGACAATGAGGGTCTGACAGATTCTGTACTTGTCCTCCAGCTGTTTGCTGTTGTCTTTAGTCTGATGGATCTGCTCCCGAACGTCCTCCCTGAGGTCCTCCACTCGCTGCCTCATGCTCAGGTACTTCTCATGATCCCTGGCTTTGGTTTCCAGGTTCATCAATTTGCTGTAAATTTCAGAAATGGTCGAATAGAGTTCTCTTGTCTTTTCCTGGGGAATCCAGGGCTGCAGATGGTCAACCTGAGATTTATGCTCCAGAATCATGTGTTTAAAAGACTCATAAGGTTGCAGGGACTCACTTGTGATGGGAAACCTGTGTCTGCTGAGATCCATCAACATCTCCCTCAGGCTTTTTTCAATGGTGACCAGATTTGTCTTGTTGGACTCCCCAGTTTGGACGACTTCATCCAGCTCCTTCTTGTTGACCTTTTCATAGCTACTAATGGCTCTAATGTCGTCCTGGAGGTTAGTTAGCTTTTCAAAGAGCTGACATTTCTCGGAGATGCTGAGTTCAGAGGAAATGTCTTTACTCTTCATTAACAGCGCCTCACAGACGGCGGACTGTTTATCAGCCTCAGCCAGAGTCTCCTGCAGCTGACGAACTCTGCGATCAAGCTCAGTTGGGCTTCTCAACTCACCGTCTTCATTCCTGGAGGCTTCTCTGTGCAGGTGAGCCACAACCCAGGAATCTAGGTCAGCAATCTGCTCGGACATCTTTTCTCTCGTCTGCAGTCCTGACTCTATCTCTCTCACAGCGTTGGCTAACTTATCAGTGGTGGAGCGTGAGAGTTTCTGAAGGGATTGCAGTGAAGTGCGAACCACGGGCACCTCCTCTGCCTGATCCAGCTGTGGAAGGAGCTCTGTCACCTCCTCCACAAGTGACTCCAGTTGGCCTTGTTTGCTCATCACCTCCGACTGCAGCTTCTTCAGATCTCTGAGCTGCCGGTGAACCTCTTCAGGAAGGAGAGCCACCCTCTTCCTCCTTCCCTCGATATCACCCTCTGTCTGCTTTGCCCACGCCAGGCCGTCCCTCATCACCATGATGATTTTCTCCATGGTGGGGTTGCTGCTGCTCTGGGTTTGCCTGGTCACTAGTTCTTCTGTGTGGCTGAGTTTTTCCTTTATCATCTGGAGCCCTTGTTGTATTTCTTTAGTTTCCTTCTCCCATCGCGAGCTGAGCATTAGTGCCTCTGAAAGCATCTGCAAATAGAGGAACTTCTGCTTGGTGGCTTTAACCTCGGCATTGGCTTCCATCAGCTGCTGAGCCTTCTTGCAATTCCACTGAGTGACCGCAGGAGACTTGGCCTCGAGGTCTTTGTCGATTGTTTCCAAATGCTCCCGGAGGTTTGATATCTCTGACTGAAGGCTGCTGGTCTGGTGAGAATGGACCTTTGTGTGAAGAAGTCTTCTCTCCACAGATCTCTCCAGGCCTCTCCACCTCTCGTGTAGGTTCCTCTGCTCCTTCTGTGCGTTTGATCGCTCAGACTGGCTGAGGTGGGGGCACAACTTGGTGAAGGTCACAAGCAACTCCCCGAGTACCGTTCTGCTGTCCTCCATACGTCTCTGTAACGAGCATAGATGCTCTGCCTCCGTGGAGCTGCTCTGTTCCTGGGATCTGAAAGAAACACGCCATGTGGTTGGTGTTTGGGTTGTTGTAACAAATTTTACATTTCATACTGTAAATAACACATCTCCACTTCCTCCCACTATCCAGAAATAAAGATAAAATATTGCAGATAGGAACCTCACCATATTGCGTTAATGTCACCGAATTAGAGTGAAACCAAATGAACATCAGAGTGATTTAAACTACCTAAAATGATAGAAACTGCCGTTGAGAAAATGTGATTTGACGAGTACTTTGCCTTTTTAATATTGTCCATGTCCCGTCTGCTAACATGGAGGAGGCAGGGCTTATGACCTACACATATGCTTAAACTTTACTTTTGGGAAGCCATCATGTCTCTGTATGTATGTTTTATGTTACATTTTCAAATTGATCAAACTCACGTTTCCACAGCGTCCAGTTCTGCGCTCTGTCTCTCCACTGTGGTCTGGGCTGTTTGCATCTGTCGGCCATAATCCATCACAAGCTCCAGCTGGGCCTCTTTGCTCTGGATGATGGCAGCTGCATCCTGAGCTGCAGCTCTCCACTGATCCTCCAGGTGCTCCAGCGAGGCTCTGCCCTCGGCGTCAGCTCCTCTCTGCTGGGACAGTAACGACCCCTGTGCCTGGGCGGACTCTCTGCACTGCTGTACTCAACAAACCAAAGAACACACAGACCATTATTCAAAGCTAATATTGTGTATATTGAGATTATAGGAGTATTACTTAACACAAGCAAATTGCCTTGAGTGGTTTAAAACAGATACAACCTTAAGGGTATGATTGCACAATATGTTGGCAAATGTGCAGCTGTTTTTGAGATATACACCGTACACTGAACATGCCCAGATCTGAAGCAATATGTTTGTTGTTTTGCTGCTGTCCAGCTCCATCTGTTTCTACAAATCCTGCTGCTGCAATAAATGAATCATAAATATCTGAGTGACTCCCGTTTGTCATCTCACCTGAGCCTCCTCCACCTGTCGGGCCATGGCTGCTGGGTTTAGCTCGGCTGGGCGATTCTTGCAGCTCAAGATTTTAGACACCAGTCTGTTTACGTGCTCATCCATGTCACTGGTGGATGTAATCAGAGTCTCTGGAATATCATCGTGTGATTTAACCTTGAGAGAAAAAAAAAAAACACGTCTCAAAATTCATGTTCCGTGCAGGTTCGAGCTCATTTGAAGCTGAAAAGGTTTGTGCCATGTAATTTCTCCCTTTGGCAGCACGATTTTAGAGTAACGGTTCCAGAGTAGCATAGCAGGAGGCCTAACATTTTTCAAATGATGTTTTATAATATTGCATTTTTGTCTCTGATATTCTCTGTGAAGCCTTTCTTGCACAAATGTTGATAACATCAGGAATAAGAGCAAAGTTTGTTGCCTGTTGCAATGGAAAATGTTCTAAATATGATATTATCATACAGGAAGAGTCTAAAAATAATTAAGGAATTATACTTTTCTTTTGGTGCAATAGTATAATAGTGAGTCCAGTATATTCTCCTGCCTCTCTCTACCAACACACCTCCAGTCAGAACAGAGCGTTATGTTTGCATATAAGAGGCAGCGTGCAGACAAGTTAACATACCTCAGTGATTTCACTGCTGGGTCCTGTTCCTGCGAGAAGCTGCATTTCTGTGAAGATTCTCCTGATGCCGGAGCTTTCTGTCGACTCCACACCTAGTTTCTTCACAGCATGTTCTTCTTCTTCTTTGTTTCCCAGAGCAGCTAATCCTTCCTTCCTGGGTACTTCCTCCAGGCTAACGTGCGCTGACGGTTTCTGAGCTGGTGATATCTTTTCAGCAGGGTGTAGTTGTTCCTGTTGTGGATATAAAAACTCCTGTATTAAAGCAAAAACAATTCTGACACTTTGTGAGAAAAGTCTGTTCCATTTGAGGAATCATTTCTTTTCTGAACATGCACCAGGGACTTGCAGGACTTGCCCTGTGACTTGCTGGATAATTAAATCAGGTTTGAAGTAGTTCATGTTCCCACCCTGAGGCTCTAAATCCTTTGGTAGCTAAGATAATAAATGTCACAGGGTTTATGTTCTTCACTTTCATGCAACATTACTGGAACATAGCCATGATCAGATCCAAATATTAGTATGTAAATATTTATGAAAACAGTTTCTGAAGAAGCAGAAAAGTTAGGGATTAAAGAATGTTAGGGAGCAAGTGCAGACATGTTCATGCATAATAGAAGATGCTTGTATAGATTTTCCTTTTTTTCCTTTCTCTCTATCTCTGTCTACTTAACATGTGTACATTTAGTACCATTACCAACAGTGACGTGTTTCTTAAAGGAAGAGAAAAGTAAACCGACAAGTTAATGATTTTTACTTTGCCAGGAGAAGGTATTCTGCATGATCACGATACCAAGAGAGAAAGTCAGGTAGAGCAAGAGTGAAAGCCAATACACGTGCTGGAAGCAGTTGACCAACCACGACAGAGAGGTCCAGTTGGCCAGTCAGAGCAGACTGGGCTTCATCAGGCTGGGACGCCTTAAAGAGACACAAGCTACAAGTGTTTCAGACGGAGGCTGAAAAGAGGAGCTGCAGCAATGGACAGATTTAGGAAAGGGATGGGTTTTAGAAGATGTAAAGCTTTTCCAGAGATGCAGAGCAGCTCCAGGAGGGCGGAGATGAGACCAAGGAAGGGAATGTACTGGAGGAAAGAAAATCAGCGACCCTCATGTCTTACCTTAGGTAAACCAAGGCCATGAAGCCAGACCTCACCAGTGGTGGCAGCTGAGGATTTTGGGAGTTGAACATTTTGTATCTCTGCTTTGACCATTGTTTCACTTTGTTGTTGCTGAATCACTCTCTTCTCCTCTGGTTCTAGATGGAGTCCAGATGGAGATTCAGTAGATCTCACTTCTTCTTCAAACCTGATCATCCTAACTGTAGACTGGTCAGGCTGAACATCTGTGGTCGTCACATCTTTGCTTTCTTTAACTGTCTCAAACTGGACACTTGATTTCATCCCTTGTTCCTTTTCTGTTGTGACAACTTTTGGTTCATGTTCAATCACTTTTAATTCATTCTTTTTCACAGATTCTGTTTCCTGGCTCTTTGGTACATCATGCATGTCTTGTTTCAACACTTGAACCTTCTTGTCTTGGACACCAGGATCTTTGACCTCTTTAGGACTTTCTCCTGTGGTTTTGAGGATTTCTGGTTTTTCATCTTTAACTTCCGGTAATTTTTCACACTCTGGAGATTCAGTAGAGCTCACTTCTACTTCAAACCTGATCATCCTAACTGTAGACTGGTCAGGCTGACCATCTGTGGTCGTCACATCCTTGCTTTCTTTAACTGTCTCAAACTGGATCCTTGATTCCATCTTTGCCACCTTTTCTGTTGTGACAGTTTTAGGTTTATCTTGAGTCATGTGGATTTCTCCCTTGTTAACAGATTCAGTTTCCAGACTCTTGGGGGCATCTTGCATTTCTTGTTTCAACACTTGAACCTTCTTGTCTTTGACACCAGGATCCTTGATCTCTTTGAGACTTTCTTGTGTAGTTGTGAGGATTTCTGGCTGAGTATCAGTTTGACTTGGTTTAACTTTGTCTTGTTCAGACAAACTTACTTCTACAGTTTCTGTCTGACCAGGATCCTTGACCTCTTTGGAACTTTCTCCTGTTGTTTTGAGGATTTCTGGTTTCTCATCTTTAACTTCTAGTAATTTTTCACACTCTGGAGATTCAGTAGAACTCACTTCTACTTCAAACCTGATCATCCTAACTTTAGACGGGTCAGGCTGAACATCTGTAGTTGTCACATACTTGTTTTCTTTAATTGTCTCAAACTGGATCCTTGATTCCATCTTTGCCACCTTTTCTGTTGTGACAGTTTTAGGTTCAAGTTCAGTGACACTGATTTCCTTCTTCACTGATTCTGTTTCCTGGCTCTTGGGTGCTTCTGGCATTTCTTGTTTTTTAAGCACTTGAACCTTCTTGTCTTGGACACCAAGATCTTTGACCTCTTTGGGACTTTCCCTTGTGGTTTTGAGGATTTCTGGTTTCTCATCTTTAACTTCTGGTAATTTTTCACACTCTGTAGATTCAGTAGAGCTCACTTCTACTTCAAACCTGATCATTCCTACTGAAGACTGGTCAGGCTGACCATCTGTGGTCGTCACATCTTTGCTTTCTTTAACTGTCTCAAACTGGATCCTTGATTCCATCTTTGGCTCCTTTTCTGTTGTGACAGTTTTAGGTTTATCTTGAGTCATGTGGATTTCTCCCTTGTTAACAGATTCAGTTTCCAGACTCTTGGGAGCATCTTGAATTTCTTGTTTCAACACTTGAACCTTCTTGTCTTGGACACTGAGATCTTTAACCTCTTTGAGAGTTTCCTCTGTGGTTTTGAGGATTTCTGGTATCTCACATTTAACTTCTGGTAATTTTCCACACTCTGTAGATTCAGTAGAGCTCACTTCTACTTCAAACCTGATCATTCCTACTGTAGACTGGTCAGGCTGAACATCTGTAGTTGTCACATCCTTGCTTTCTTTAACTGTCTCAAACTGGACACTTGATTTCCTCCTTGGCTCCTTTTCTGTTGTGACAGTTTTAGGTTCAAGTTCAGTGACACTGAT